AAAAAGAAGTCTGATGAGGAGATGTGGTGATCTCCGAAATAGTGCTATAACTTCTACCGCTTAGACTTTGTTGCTTTTTCAATTTTTCCTAATAAACAATCGTGGTACAAAGCTCAATAAAAATATTAAAAATAAAAATAATTATCTTTAAAACATCATCTAGCATAACTTTTAGAATGAAAAAGGCATAAAAATGGTTACTCAGCCTTAAAAACAGTAAAAATAATACTTTTCGATGGAATATAATATGAAAATTAAGTTCCCCGACCCAAAAAAACAATAACTTGCGATTACTTTCTAAAGGAGTTTCATTATTTGATCGAATTTTACTAAATTTATCACCAATTTAAAATACGCGACCAGAAACAAAAAACGCAGATCTGTACGCAAAAAACCCTGTTAAGATTTTGTTATCGGAGGTGTGTAAGCTTGCATTTCCTTATCGCGAATTCCATCCAAACAAATGTAAAACTATAAAGCAAAACAAAATAAATAATGCCTATACGTAACCTACGCAGTGTTATTTCTGCCTGCGTCGGTTTTTTTTTATCTCAAAATCTAACTATGCAAAGTATGTAGCCTACTATATGACTACATATTTTACTGCTGGATTTCCACCATGGCGGAATTATACCAGGTGAAGTAATTAGTGGGAGAAGAAAAATTTTGACACTGCCTTATGTGGAAAATTGGCTTTAAAACATTGTACAGGCTTACAAGTATGGAAAGCGCCATTTTGTTTGTTTACATTTGAAAACAGCTGAGATCACCTCATTTCTTATTCCTTCATTCTCCGCACAGGGCTCCACTCCCAATTTGTAAAAAAACTTTGGAATACATTTGCACAAAATTTATTACACAAGTTTATTTATTCTTACAATAATGCAAATGAAAATGGCAAAATGTATGCTTATTCTTTTATTTTCAATAAAAAATATTAATAAGCGTGTTTAGGGAGATAATTTAAAATTCTATGAAATTTCGTGTTTACGCAAAAGTGCAACAATATACGTGATCTTTATGTCATTGTTTTCCTTTTCAACTCCAATTTCGTGTTCGTTGTCTGATGAATTAGGAGAATTTGCGCGATTTTTTCTAAAATTCCACCATTTTTTAATAAATTTCCAATGCAGCAGCTGGCGTACGCAGTTTCCAAAGGCGACAGGACTTTTGCTTTTAGATTTTTTGTATTTAGAGGACGATAGCGCAATAGGTAAATTTTAAACTGTCCATCATAAATTTAACGAACCCATTATTTTAGGCACACCAAAATATTAAAAAGTTTGTGAACTGGATCGGAATGACCAGTTTTGGGAATTGGAACTGCCATCAGATAAAATGCGTCTGTACATCATCTATAATATTTGTGCGCAAAATGTAGCCAAATATTAATTTGGGCGCATTAAGAAGGCACTGTAGGAAATTGGCTGTGATCTCGCCACTTTTCTTACCCCCCCATTATGAATCCATACGATACACGATAAACGCTTGCATTCTGTTGTGCCGTATTACGAATTAAATTTTAGCGTATGAAATTCGATACCTACCGTTAATCGTATATCGTTAAATTTTGGTATTACCATACGATAGCTATCGTATCAGCTGTTCAATTTCTTACGCTTGCAAGCGGTTGTCCATTTTTACACGATACGATACAATTTAACAAAATTAAAGTGATGTAAGTATTAAAATGAATAACATGAAATTATGGAAACGATTTGAACAAAATACTGCAATTTCTCAGGGCAAAAATTGCGAGAAAAAAATAAAGTTGAGCGTGTTGTTTCTCCAAGGGGTGCGGTTTAGTTATTTGTACAATGATTTTGGGTTGTTGTGTCCAAAACTTTAACATACACGTGTAGTCAAAGGATTGAGCTTTAATTCAAAACAAAGATTTCAAATTTGCAAGCACTGGTTTATTGATAAATTCGGTTCGAAGGATGTACATTTTTATAAACACAGTAGAAACCTTAGATTGGGGTAATCCAATAACGCCTCGTTGCAACACTCTATGATCCCTAAGCAAGAAATCTCAGAGTTTTGAAAACCTTTGATATATTCGGTATGGATGGCGTTTTATTATTCGGCGCAACTCGTTCTCTACTTCTGTTAGAACATATGTAACAGCTTCATTCGAAAGTCGAAAGTTTCTCTGAAATCTAAAGAATTGTTTTTAATAATTAACTGTTTCTTAAATTATCGAGTTCTTCTCCAGAGGATTGGAAGAATCTCTCAATTGCCTTCTTACTGTATCCTCTATGCGAGCTTCATCAATTTGAATTTATATAAAACGCATTTGGGGTTGAAGGAAACATGTTTTATATTAATTTTGTATGGCTTATGGAAATTTCGCGATTTTCAAGTTCAAAATGTTCGCTTTGAAAATATATTATCTAGACAAGAACAGATATACAACACAAATAGTAAACAAATCCCTCTGTCATTTCCAATAGTACATCTATCGGGCGTATGGAAACCATAATACGAAATCTCACCCCCCTATTATGAATTTCCATACGATAAACGATAAACGCTTGCAAGGCGTTACTTGGCTTAGCCCAACCTACTGTTTCCATTGTATTGAAAGAAACATTGAGTGCTTTGCAAACCACTCTATGTAGTAAGTGGATTAGCTTCAAGTATACTGAGGAAGAAAAGAGAAGAGCAAAATCTAGCTTCTTTGCATCAAGTGGTATTCCCGGAGTAATTGGATGCATTGACGGGACCCACATTAAGATTGTGGCACCAGAAAAAAGTTTGCAGCATTTGTATTACTGTCGAAAGGGGTATTTTAGCATAAATGCAATGCTAGTAAGTAAAGAAATTTCTATACAGTAATTTAAAGTATTTTAAATTTAATGATTTTTCCTGTTACAATTTTGCGCCCGTTTTAGACCTGTGATGATTTAATGAACATAAAATACATCAATGCTAAGCACCCCGGCGCTACACACGACTCCATGGTTTTTCAAATGTCGGGATTAAAAAGACAATTGGAGTCAATGTATAACCGTGGTGAATCTAACACCTGGTTATTAGGTACTAAGTACTTGAGTCCTTAATGTCTGAACAAATATATTGTCATCTCAGCAAATTCAGGTTACTGTCTCCATCTCAGTCAGGGTTTAGAGCTAAACACAGCTGCTCCACAGCTATGATTAAAATACTTGACGCATACGGGGATATCCTTTGATAAAAGCAATTTGACACTATTATGCCTTTTAGACTTTTCCAAAGCTTTTGACTCGGTTAGCCATGACCTACTTTGCTCTAAACTTAGGAATTACTTTGGGTTTAGTGAACTTGCTGTCCGATTAATGAAAGCTACTTGTCCGGCAGAGCTCAGAGAGTAAAAATTGGTTATGAAGTATCCGAATTAGACCGCTAATAACGGGTATACCCCAAGGCTCTATTATGGGACCATTACTATTTAGCATGTTCATTAATGACATATTTAATACTTGTCAACATGCAAAAATGCATGCTTATGCGGATGACATTAAAATTTATTTGTCAGGGGCTCATGACGATGTGGTTAATTTGTGCGCGGATTTCAATAGTGATTTGTCGTCTATATCTTCATGGTCTGTGAGAAACGGTCTATGTCTTAATAGTGAAAAATCATTTGTTTTACCAGTATGTAAAAGAAATATTTATTGTAATGTGATGCCTTCTCTGTACATTGGTGATAAGTCCCTTAAGTTTGTGTCAAAAGTAACTAACCTAGGTTTTGTTATAAACACTAGTTTAACCTGCATTGATCATATTAATTCCGTTGTCGGCAAAGTATATTATACTCTGCGGAATTTAAGAATGTCTGCTACTTTTACACCGGTATGCATTAGGCGTAAACTCGCCATTCAATTAATATTGCCTATAATATGTTACTCGGAATTAATCTACAGTAAGCTGGACTCACAATCTGCTCATAAAATTGATGTGGTATTCAATCACGTTACGCGGTATGTTTTTGGGTTGGCGAAATACGATCATATATCTGAATGGAAATCACTGCTCTTGGGATGCGGTATTTTTGAATACTTGAAGGCTAGAAATTGCATTTTTCTATTTCGCCTTATGATGGATAAGGAACCTAGCTATCTGTTTGAAAAATTGTCTTTCACGAAATCTGCGCGCCTAACGGAATTGATC